CACACACACACACACACACACACACACACACACACACACACACACACACACACACACACACACTTAGAGCTTCCATTTGTATTTACACATGCTCTGACATTTTATCTTCTGCAAAGGGAGGATCTGTCCAACCTTCCGTTCACCACCATGTGCATCAAAGAGAGTCTCAGACTCCATTCACCTGTTCAAGCTGTAACAAGGAGGTACACTCAGGACATGACGCTGCCTGAGGGACTCTCAGTACCACAAGGTAAGAGGATTGAGTTCCTCTTACCTTGTAGCTTTCAGTCTACATGAAGGAAGTTATAAAGTTGTGGATGGTCTGATTTGGATCTATGCATGCCAGAAACCACCTTAACTTATTTGTGTTGCAACTTTCAGGAGATTACCGTTTATTGAGATTTTACTTATTGCCGGAACCAAGGGAGAAGAGAGAAACAGGCAAAGAATGAGTTCTCTGGTTCTGATGCCACTCTTTTTTAATTTCACAGGTATAATCTGTTTGATCAGCCTATACGGAACTCACCACAATCCTACCATCTGGACAAATCCACACGTAAGAGCTTGAAATAAGAATTGTAGCTGATGTTTTGTTCATATGTGGCATGTTTAACCTGTGATCTGTTCTTTATAACCAGGAGTTTGATCCTCTGCGTTTTGATGCAGCTAACGCTCAGAGTCACTCTTCTCACTCTTTCATCCCGTTCTCTTCGGGCCCCAGGTACAGTTTTGTCTCTACATTAAGTGAAGATCTGAARCAACCGAATCTGCTCTTAAAGAAAYGAATCCATCTGCTCACAGGAACTGTATTGGACAGAAGTTCGCCATGGCTGAGCTTCGAGTTGTTGTGGCCTTAACCCTGCTCAGGTTTCGCCTGACCCCAGGTGTCAACCCTGAATCAGAGAGCAACTCTGCRGAAGTGCGGCGTCTCCCCCAACTTGTTTTGCGTGCCGAGGGAGGGCTGTGGCTGCAGCTGGAGCCGCTGGATAAATGATCAAAACATTTTACATTTACCAGTGCAGTGATGAAAAACTTGTTAAACTGCGTGCTGGTTTAAATCTAGTGTAATGATTAGAATATACACATGTTGTAAAATGAGTATTGTAGGAAAATATTTTATTTTTGGAGCTTTTTGTTTTATCCTGAAAGATTTTTTAACATTGAACTTTTCATGTGTTTTGAAACTATTCATGTGTTGTTTTCCCCCACTGTCTTTATTAAAATCCCTTTTATGCCATGCTCCTGTTTAACAACATTATGCAGGTAAAATAACTGTTTTATCCTACTGCTATTTTATTTTGATCAGTTTTTAATGTGTTCTATACCTCTTGGCTAGT